TGAATATTGGCTTTTAGAGAGCTACTCAGCTACCACTTTGGCTGTTTGTAGACTGAAGCATGGTTATCAAACGACACTTCAGCACAGCAGCACCCATGCTTAACACTGACAGCTGTGCACATATACAAGAACTTGTATTTTTTTTTCACTAGTGGTTTAAAAAAAAATAATAAAAAGAAAAGCCAAAGATAGAACAGGAATCTTTCTGCAGTGCGCAGATGTTAATAAGTAGATATTCGACATGCTACATTGTAACGGTGCTAAAGAAGCCATTATGATTTATTGAGTCAATCTGTGGTACGGAGACATTAATAAGCGGATCTTATCTTATTAAGCAGAACATGATGTTCCACTGCATGGGCATCCCCAGCATCTGCCACCCTTACTCGCCCAATCTTCCTGTCATGTTTTGCATGCCACAGCACTCATTTCAAGGCTGTACCAAGTTGGCCAGACCCACAAGCTGTGAAGGCACCAGAAGAGCAGCAAAGAAAATCCAGCCATTTTGCTAAAGCAGCTGGGGGAGCAGCACTGCTGCAGAGAAACCAAAGGAGAGCTAGCACATCAGATAAATTAGGCTATAGGCATCTTGATCTGAAGCATGTTGCTAAATACACCTTTCTACTTCAGCTGAAATTCTAACTGCACCATTAAGGTAATTTATTACATTCATTAAGTACCACAATCAGAGACCCTGTCTACAGTAGCTAGTTTTATACACTTTAAAAATGTTATCAAGTCACCCCATTACATCTTAGTCATGAGACTAATGCAGATTACTTATTACTTCTCTTGGCAATCACATAACACTTGTCCTGAGAATGAAAGATGATGCCTTGACAATAATACGCTATAATGTAATAACCCTTCACGTGTTATGAAGTGCAGCACTTTTTCTTTTGAGGATCACTAAGTGCTGGGCAGGAATTCATTATTATAGCCTCATCAGACCCTGGTGACACAGCCATCCCCATTCAAAATTCAGCCACCATGCTAATATCCCTGTGTGTCTCTGCACAGCGCCCATCCGCACTGCTGCATTCAGCACAGCCCTCTGAAATACCATCGCTGCCGCTCTCCCCCTCCTATTTGTAATAGGAGATAACTGCAGGCACAGGATATCTGCTGAAATATTAATGAAGAGAGAAGTAAGTGTTGCTTTAATATTCTCCAGGCCAGTAACCTGAAGTATAGCACAGTTACCTTATTTGCCCAGGGCCACTCAGCAGCTGGGGAAGAAATGGTAATAAAGTCTAGAAGATGTGGTTCTGCTCAAAACAACCCTCCCTTGGGGTCCCTGTAAGAGCCCGCAATTCAAGTGCAGAACTAATTGCTAAATAATTAGTAACCTGCACAATTACTTCCATGCATCTGTTGATATTTTATGCCCTGAAGGAACAGTCAATAAATGCCTGATATTACAATTCTCATGGCTTCCTATTCACCAGAAGGCCTAGACAATGTGCAGTTTAAAAAGATTTTTTCCTTCCTAATGAGTATTTTCAATGGGAATTACCAACTGGCTTGAGTGTGTTGGGTACAGCTTTACCAGCACGCACGTGGTGCAAAAAGCACCAACACAGGTCCAGCATCACAGCTTTGGCAGGTCTTCCAGGATTTCAGCTCCGGCTCCTGGATTCATGTGATCAATGTGTAGCTTTCATTAGGGGGGAAAAGGAGAAGTTTCTAAGCTTTATGATTAAAAAGCAGCATGTTATAAGTAGAACTGAAAACCTCAGGAATTAAGGCTTTTGAACATCCCCTCCCACCTGATCAGGATTTTTGCAGCATTTTGGGTGCGGAACACACCAAGGAGGTGACAGGTGACCAGAAAAGCAACTGTCATGCCTGCTCTGCATTCACAGGGATGTGAATCAAAAACTGCCCAGAGGAACCTATTTGCAGAGCAGCAGAAGAAAGAATAATGACATTATGCAGCCCAGCAGGCAGGCAACACCTTTTTTGTCCTATTCAGCTTGCAGTTTCTCTCTTCGCAGTTACAGCACTTTCCAAACCCAGGTTGTTCTTTCAAAACCTGGTGCACTCTCTTACTCTTTTATGGTTTCCAACTGTTCTCTTCTGCTCATTCTTTATTCTTTCCAAATCAATAGTATCCATATCAGCATCAAAGTCCTGTGTATTACCTCTCTCCTGACGGCTCCTTGTTTTCTAATCTTTCTCCCCACAAATTCTCTTCGGTAACTGTTACTAAACAAATGTTTGTGCTAATGTCTTCTGCAAGGTTTTTCCCAATGATAGTGCCAGTATGTAGGTCGCTTTATGCCTTCAAAAAGCAAACAAATGTCATCCAATAATGCCAAAACTTTACCTTGATCATTTGGGTCAGACTTCCTCTCCAGCTGCTGAAACATAGCACAGAACTACAGAACATACATCCATCTCCCTCCCCACCACTTACAGGTTCTTAGAAACTCGGGGCCAGAAGGGACCATGGGACCACCCTGACCCCAAACCACCAGCCAACTTCACCCATGTGAGCTCGTGGCTGCCGGGAGCCACAAAAACTTCCCCATTCATCATTGCTACTCTCCATTTCATGGCATTCCCCTTCCATCATCTCTAAATCACTTAATTACATTGTAATCAAAAGCAACTCTATCTTTGCAATTGTTTGATTCCCACTCCGTACAATAAGTAGCATTATTATTAATAATAAAAGCCATGCATTAAAGGTATTATTTTACTGTTCTCCAGAGAGAAACAGAAGTTTATTTCCTTTTGTTGGGTTCCATCCCCCTGGTTTAGAATAAGCCATCACTGTCAGGATCAAAAATACAATCAACTTCATCCTGGTAGTTCATTTAAAAAAAAAAAAAAGGCAGTTAAATGCAGCATAAAAAAAATGAAAATTAAAGTAATTTAAGACTATAAAGCTGGGTATTAACAAAATCTTGGAAATAAGACATCTAATTTACTTTGTGGTCTGAGTTTTTTGGGGGGATTTGGTTTTTTTTATAGACAAAATTGCTGGTGATGGCAGCATTGAATCTGAATCACACCATCTTCCAAGATCTAATCACAATCAACACTGTCTTGATCAATACAGTTGTAAAATATGATTTCAAAAAAAAAAGTACAACAAAGCCATTAAAGAAATCTTGGAAGGCAGCAAAGTCATTTCTTGAAGCTGTAAGTGAAAAATGAATTTTATTTATTTCACATTGCAATCAAATAGTAATGTGTCTGGATGCATACGTGCACACATGCATCATCACTATTTGCTTTATTCTTATTGATTTTTCCTTCCATGGGCCAGCTCTCCAGAACCACTACGCACTAGCATCACTGATGTCAACAGGGACAGAGGC